AGACATTTGTTTTATCAGAAAGGGGGTAAGAGTTGCTGAGGATGCTCAGATGTTTACATGCAGCTGTCGTCTGACCCAAGTCACTGCATCATATAGGCTTTAAATATTTCAAGAAATATCCTCTCCTGACTGCAGACTTGGATTTCTCCTCTTTTCTTATACCAGGGCCCACAGACCATCAGCCCACAGGCCTCCACCAGGAGGGGGGCGGCCAAAGCCTGCACCCAAACCAAAACCCCAGGTGCCCCAGTGCAGAGCTCTGTACGCTTACGACGCTCAGGATACAGATGAGCTAAGCTTCAACACAGACGACGTGATTGACATCATCAAAGAGGGTACTTTTTTTTTTTTTTTAATGTTCCTTTTCTTTCCGCTCTGTCACCTCCTCATGTTTCTGCAATCTGATCATGTCTGAGCAGACGCCTCCGGATGGTGGACAGGACGACTTCGTGGGAAGCAGGGACTTTTCCCTAACAACTACGTGACCAAGATCTAGGAGCTGCTGGCATTTCAGCACAAGACAATGCACCTGCCTGCGTCTCTGTTGGCCCCTGGTGGCCCCTGGCTCCGAGGATGGCACAGAGCCTACAGTCGGGGAGGGAAAACACTGCAAGACTCTTCTTCCACTACTGCCTTACATTTTATGAATGTAACTCTGTTACACCATCAGACCAAACAACTGTCCTGTCGGGCTTAATATTCTCCAAAGACAAAAAGACTGCTGGGCCTAGGGGTCTGTCCCCTCTGAGTACTGAACAAACTATTTATTGTATTTATTGATCTCTGTATTTTCCTTTTACTCACCTTATCATATCTTGTAGAGGATTAGTGCTGCAGCGTTTTGAAGCATTCAAAAGATATCGGCTAAATCTCTGGGACCAGGCTGTGATTTTTCACTCTTTTTTTTCTTCTATTATTTCTATTTTGCTTTTAGATGAAGGTTTTATCAGTTGAAGGAAACTGAGATTAAGTTTAACAGGAATATTTATTATAATGGAGACATTTAACTGCAGGAACAGACAAAGAATCATAATGCTGAGTAATGATTTTAAGAAATTAAAATACCAAAGTAAATGTTTTTTTTCGCTGTTTTCTTTCTTTTTCTTTTTTCTTTCACTTCTTAGGGCATTGCAGTGAGGTGGGGTATTAGGTGAAGATCTTTCCTCACTATCATGATGTTTTTGTTCTTTAATGGCACCAGTATGTTTCATGTAAACTGTAACCTGAGCGTGAAGTCTGTGGTGTATTAGCACTTTATTGGTACAGGTACCTTGGACACAGAAGGCATCTCACGTTCAAAGCAGACAAAGCTTTTGTCAATTAAGTAGATATTTTGATGAGCAAAAGCAATAAAGTCACCTAGTTACTGAGGGGAATCACATGTTTACAAGAAATTAAAACAAAATGCTTTTTTTCCTAGATATTAATCTGTATATGTGTTCATATGTAGGAGTGCACCTGTTGGTGGGTAGAAGTTAAAAGGATTTCTTCGTTTTTAACTTGGAGGATGTTTGTTTTGTAGATCTTTTTTTCTCGGTTGTGCTTCTTAAAAACAATTGTTTTATTGTATGTCCAGCTCTGCTACAGCATCAGTTATCACAGACTTGGGTGAAAGGATTTTAATGTTTTGTTAAGCTGTTTTAGGTTTGTGTTTCTGCACTTTTTTTATTTTCACTCGTACAAACATTCCTTAGTTTGTTTTAATCAGATGACCACATTATGCTGTAGCCTGTAAAAGCTGCCGGGACTCCTTTCTTAAAACTGCATCAATAAATATAGTTTGGTCTTAAGATCCTTGTTCTATTTATACTAGTAGTTAAGTATTAATCAGTCATCAGTTAATGCTTTTCTGACTCTTATCACAGATTTTTTTTTCTACATCAACTTTAACTCCATATAAACATTGTTGTACATCAAGTAAGACATTGAGACCAGCAGCTTCAGAAAATATCGCCCTCTGCCAGCCATTAGACAGAATGCCAGTTTGAATTCACATCCATTTGAAGCTGAAAATCAGTCAATACAAGCATCTTGGTAAACTGGAGGATAATTAAATATGTTAATTTTAGTGCTTAAATTCAAAAAGCTACCTGGCTTTTATTTAATTAAACATTAGTAAACATTGTCTTTGATACCCTCTACCAGGATATGTGTTTTAAGTGGCCGATCATACAAATATTCATGTGTGCTACTTGGGTTCCCTGTGGAGCACTCTTGGACCACACAAAACATCAAAAGAAAGCCAGAATGCAGTTTCTTGCTCAGTGGTTCAAAATTATCTTTTCATGTAAAAGTACATTTTTATAAATTCTTACTCTTTAAGATTTTTTTCTCCCTCTCTGCATCTTTAATGAATTTATTTCAATGTATTAATCTGAAATGTTGGTAACAGACAGAATATTCAACAGAGGGGGTTAGGGTACCCAAAGACTGTACTCTAGAGTAACACAACTTAATAGTTTTACCCAAAGAGTAAAAAGTAGACCTTATTCAAGTAAAAGCATTGGTGGACAAAGTACTCAACAGGTGTGCTTGATGCTTGTTTTTTTTTTTTTTTTATACTTTAATAATCCCAAACAGAAATTACTTCTCTGCATTAAACCCAGGAGCAGTGGGCTGCCATTGTGCGGCGCCCAGGAAGCAGTGTGGGGCTAAGGGTCTTGCTCAGGGAGCCAGAGTGGCCGTGGCGGGATTAAACTCACAACCTCAGGATTTTAAGCCCTATGCCATAGCCACCAGGCCACAACTCCTCTTACTCGACTACAAGTATTATTGAAGTACTCACTTTTTAAAATACTTAAGCATTAAAATTACGAATTCTTTTTTCTTTTATCAACACATTTCTGTATAATTTTCAGAGAAATTTTAAAAATCTTTGGTTACTTTCAGAAACTGATGTATTGATGCGTAGAACCTTTGCTACAAATTCTACACCATCTATAAAGAACTTCAGCATAAAAATGCCACAAAAAATAAGGAAAGCTATTTGCATTATTTATTTAGAACAAACCAAAGGGAAAAAAAACGGTATGGTCTTGATTCTCTTCACACTTTCAATATCTAATAGAGGTTTAAGGTTGAACCTATTACCAAAAAGAAACTAGAATCTGCTTTGAGAACTCATCCTACTGAACAACTTGATCACATGGCAAAAACTAACACCTTAATTATAAACTACTAATAATATCTGCCCTGAGTTTCTCACAATTTTTGGAATGTCGTGCAAAATCTCTAAAACAGTGGTGTCATGATTCAGTCCTAATGGCCGCCATCTGCCATGTTGGAATTGCATTTCAAAAAAGAAAAGAGCAAGAGCAGATTATAAAGCTAAGCTGAGTTTGAAGGACAAAGTAACAGCTTCTAGAAATGACGTGGAGTAGAAAGTACAATATTTGACTTTGAAATGTAGTAAAAAAAAAAAAAAATTACTCAAGATATTCAAAAAAGTACTTAAGTACTGTAATCAAGAAAATTTACTTTGCTACTTTCCACCACTGGGTAAAAGTTAAAAAAGTATTTGTTAAAAAGGCCACTTACGTACTGACTAACTCATAACATCTGATATTTAAAGTCATGTAATACAGATAAAAAAAAATGTAGTTGTGACTAAATTACAATTAAAAGACTAGATCAAAAATAAACAAAAGTCTTCCGAAGGAAAAAACTAAAACTAGTACTTTGTAAATAAAATTCCCTCCTTATTGTATATTAGCTTGACTTGGTAGGATCAAGTAAGCTTGCGTACAGAAAAAAACTCAGCTCATCATAAACATTAATAGTGTGCCTTTGTTTAGAGAACTTAAAAAAAAAGATATTGTAGAGTTATGATTGGTGGAGCAGCCAAACATTTTACTCAAGTAAGGCTAGAGATATTTTAAGATATTACTCAAGTAGAAGTAAAAAAAATTGTGCAGTAAACTCTACTACTCCTAAAAGTATCTTTTCTTCGAAAAGTTACTCAACTGTTAGTAAATCTATATAGTTACTGCCCATCAAATATTCACACACACACAAAAAAAAGTTGACTTGTATTGTGGTTCCAATTAATCAAACTTTCTTATAATTTGCAGAATGGGTTATAACTAGTTATAAAGTTTTTTTTTTTTGTTCAGTCGAAACTCAGAACTGACACAATCCAACATGCAGTGCAAGGTTAACTCTTTGCACCCCAAAATAAGAATCTTGTTGGAAGGGGGGAAAAAATCTAATTTTCCTCCAAGTAATCATCTACTTTTACAGGCATGGCTCATTAAATGTGATAATTGATAGTTATAGCTAACAGCTCATTAAAAGACCTTTACCTTAAAGATAAATAGAATATTGACTATTTTTGTCTAAGGTCTTTCAGAAATAAACATTTCAGCCAACAAAAATAAGCTATTGCAGAATATGAACTCAATACTTTGCAAGACGTTATTTTGTTTTAGATAGAATAAAGCATCTGTGATGCTGTAGTTCTGGTAAAGATCAACTGGTTTACCCTCATCTTTGTCTTAACATTAAATCATACTTCGCTTGTGCACCGTTTTTTCTCAGTTATCCACTCAGCTTTCAATTATATTATATGATCTATATTGTTAGGGTCATCTTTAAATTTCTGTGGTTGATCGTATGCATTATAAATATTTTCTGAAAACAGAATGTGAACACTAGAAATAAATCACTAAATATAATATCGAGTTTGTTTTTTAAAACATGAAATAAGCACCTCATTAATAATCTAGTTCAAAATGTGCCTCTATGAAATTGTTAGCAGCAAACTTTCTATTCTGTGTAAAATGTTTTTAGCTGATGTGTTTACATTACTTTACGAGATATTTAGATGAAGAAAATGGTAAGCTTTACAGTCATGGTCCCAGGAAAATAAGAGGTGAAACCAAAGGACAAACATTGTCCCTAAAGTTAATTGCTTAACTTAAAACATTTCCAGAAAAATCTATGACATTCATTCAATCATGTAAATCTTAAAAATAAAAAAGACACCAATCAAAGGACTCAACAAGAGTTATCCAAGTTTATTAATATTATTTTCAAAACTAATATAAATCCCACATAATATTATGATCCTGGTGCCTTTAAGTCAATGAATGCATGGATACCTGCTTTAAGTACTGCATTTCAACACTCAATTTAAAACATTTTTTCCTTTTTTTTTTTCTTTCTTATTATTGGAGTGGAAACACATGGCCTCAGCGCAGTCAGGTTCACAACTAATCTACCGTTTTCTCTCTTGTGCAAGTCTATGCGAGTGAGTTAGTCAACAGTATTAGTGTTTTTGTTGTTTTTCCTTCCTCTTTCTGCAGCATCCAAGATTAACAATGCTGCTCAACTACAGAGAGACAAAAAGGGATGGTGGCTAAATCAGAAGTGCGAGAACAAACGGTAAATCTAAACTTGAGCTGTGTTTTTCCCCTCTGAACGCACACGCACGCACACAGGAGATCAAAAAGTCATCGCCACTGCCACTATCAATTTAACAGCATGATCACCATTTTTCAAATCTCTTCAACACATGTAGGCCTGAGATTATCTCACAAAAAAAAAAAAAAAACCTTAGTTAGGCTTTGCACGTCTGTCTGTGGGTAGAACCCCGAAAGAAAAGAGAAAAAAAAAAGATTCACAGCAGTTCCCGACAAACGCTCAGTTTGGAAACAACAGTCAAGAGAGGGATGTGACATTCTTTTCCTTGCTCCCTAAAATACACGGGATGATGATGATGATAATGATGATAACGGTGCCGTCGTTGAATGAAGGTGCAGGAGGGTGTTTTTATTGTAATAAAGCATGTGCATATCCTGGGAATGAGGTGAACCATGGAGTCAATTTCCACTCTTGAAATACTGGGTGTGCACTAATACAGCAGCTGATCTGTTAACGTATTTCCTTTGTGAGGAATGTCTTGATTTACTTAAAAAACAAAAAACATCTTTCACTAACAACCCACATCTGCTAAACATAAACTAATCAATACAATGACTGGTAAGATGAATCCTGCAATGTTTTTTCAACTGAAGGTTGACATTCTATTCTAGTAAAGCAAGGCATTAGGTTTGCGGAAATGCATCTTTACTAGAGCAGCGCCCCTCACCTGCAAATCACTAGGCTGTGTAAGCCCACGTTAAATGTGCAAAGAAATGCATTGCAAGGAAACATGCAGAGAAACAAAACGGAAATGACACTTGAGGAAACAATCAAAAGCTACATAAAAGCTTCATAAATACAATAAAATCTTAAATTCAAAGTGAAGAAATCTAGTTGTTCTACTATGTGAGAGCTGGCACTCCAGGCTCGATGCTTTTTTTTTTTTTTGTTGTCTATTCTTTTTTTCTTTTTTTGCTCGTAGTTGAGCTGCGCAGGTAATTCATGCCATCTTTGGTTGACTGCAGTACTGAAGAGAAAGTTAATATGATCTGAAAATAAATTCCAAACAAACAAAAGTTGTTGTAGGGGGAAAACAGCATCAACTCTCGGCAGAAAGCTGGGCCTCAATGTCCACTCTGCAGATGGGGCACTTTTTATTGGTGAGGAGCCACTGATCCACACACAGCTGATGGAAGAGGTGCATGCATGGCAGGCGCCTGGAGGAAAAACACATGGATATCAATTTTAGAGCCTTGTAGTATCATAACATTTCCTAAACAGTGATAGTTGAAGGCAGGTTTAGTCTATGAAACATCTTTCCCACTGAAAATAGCGCATTAACCCGGGTTTTTCAACATCGATTTATCCGCTGACAATCAGCATTTAGATCCCTTCCCACTGGTAAAACAAGCTGGATCTAACCCCTTGCTGGCAAGCTGCGTGGCCCTAGTCCCCCTGCAGCTGCGTTTCTGGTGACACCATCATGCTGGGTGAGCATTGATGATGTCAGTGTGACAGAATTCAGGAAAGTAAACAATGGAGATCAACATATACGGAAGCCAGGGTATAGTCAGTGTGCTTTACTGTTTCTCTCTTTTGTCCCTCTAAATCCCCCTACCAGTGCTTCTCCATGTTTATCAAATGTAAACAGGGTTGTTTCGGCTTATTAGATCAGAAGCAACTGGAGCGGTGTGTTGACGTCCGTACGTTGTGTTTAATGGTGTCACGTAATTTAGCGGGTAAAACTGGCTCTGGTGTTCTCAAAGCATGCGGATCAGAGCCCAGGCAAATTGTTCCCAGCTTTAAATGGGTTTTTCCTCCATTGTGAAAGGGGTATTACAGTAAATTATATATTAGCTAAACATGCTTTGGTTTGCTAAAATACTAATGCTACTAAAATATTACAAACACTAGAAAGTTATCATCTACTATTGGGACCCTATTCTAACAGCAGCTTCTATAGCACCATTTGCTTCAGATGCCAACATAAACAAGTTTTTAAGATGCTAATGCTAGCTTTGTTATACTATTCTGAGCCTAAAGGAACAACAGTAACAGAAATGTTAACATGCTAACATTAGCATTGTTAAGCTTATTCACCAACCCAAGCTAAAATAATCAAAGATAAAATGCTAACATTAACATGCTAATATTAGGATTATGAAGCTTATATGCTATCCTGAGCTAAAAAAAAAAAAACCATCAACAGAAATATTAACATGCTGATGTTAGCGTCGTTTGGCTTATATGCTATCCTGAAATTAAAAAAAGCAAAAGTAAGTGGAATGCTAACATTACAATGCTAATACTAGCAAGGTTTTGTGGAGCTATTTAGTAATAAACCAATAATAGTTGGCATAGATTAGGTTTAGAATAACTGGAAAAATAATATCACACATCTTAAAGATTGGGTAACAGGTGCCTCAATTAACTGCTATAGTTATCATCATTAAAAACTTAATAAAATATTAAGTTGAAAAAAATCTGGATTTCATCCATCCATCCATTATCCTACACGCTTGTACCAATTGGGGTCGCGAGGGGTGCTGGTGCCTATCTCCAGCAGTCAAAAATCTGGATTTCACATAAGTAAAATAAACAACTGATGATGACGAAAATCATTATCTTTATCAATTTTGTTTTCAATCTTTTCTTTAAATATATATATACACTCACCGGCCACTTTATTAGGTACCCCGTGCTAGTAACGGGTTGGACCCCCTTTTGCCTTCAGAACTGCCTCAATTCTTGGTGGCATAGATTCAACAAGGTGCTGGAAGCATTCCTCAGGGAGTTTGGTCCATATTGACATGATGGCATCACACAGTTGCCGCAGATTTGTCGGCTGCACATCCATGATGCGAATCTCTCGTTTCACCACATCCCAAAGATGCTCTATTGGATTGAGATCTGGTGACTGTGGAGGCCATTTGAGTACAGTGAACTCATTGTCATGTTCAAGAAACCAGTCTGAGATGATTCCAGCTTTATGACATGGCGCATTATCCTGCTGAAAGTAGCCATCAGAAGTTGGGTACATTGTGGTCATAAAGGGATGGGGATGGTCAGCAACAATACTCAGGTAGGCTGTGGCGTTGCAACGATGCTCAATTGGTACCAAGGGGCCCAAAGAGTGCCAAGAAAATATTCCCCACACCATGACACCACCACCACCAGCCTGAACCGTTGATACAAGGCAGGATGGATCCATGCTTTCATGTTGTAGACGCCAAATTCTGACCCTACCATCCGAATGTCGCAGCAGAAATCGAGACTCATCAGACCAGGCAACGTTTTTCCAATCTTCTATTGTCCAATTTCCATGAGCTTGTGCAAATTGTAGCCTCAGTTTCCTGTTCTTAGCTGAAAGGAGTGGCACCCGGTGTGGTCTTCTGCTGCTGTAGCCCATCTGCCTCAAAGTTCCACGTACTGTGCGTTCAGAGATGCTCTTCTGCCCACCTTGGTTGTAACGGGTGGTTATTTGAGTCACTGTTGCCCTTCTATCAGCTCGAACCAGTCTGGCCATTCTCCTCTGACCTCTGGCATCAACAAGGCATTTCCGCCCACAGAACTGCCGCTCACTGGTTTTTTCTTTTTCAGACCATTCTCTGTAAACCCTAGAGATGGTTGTGCGTGAAAATCCCAGTAGATCAGCAGTTTCTGAAATACTCAGACCAGCCCTTCTGGCACCAACAATCATGCCACATTCAAAGTCACTCAAATCACCTTTCTTCCCCATACTGATGCTCGGTTTGAACTGCAGGAGATTGTCTGGACCATGTCTACATGCCTAAATGCACTGAGTTGCCACCATGTGATTGGCTGCTTAGAGATTAAGTATTAACGAGCAGTTGGAGTGTATATATATATATATATCATAGCTTGTCATTAATAATTAGTCATTAAACAAAAGCGTATAAATCATATATATATACCGTAAATCCTCTAATATAGGCCCGGGCCTTTATTTCACTCAAGTGCATCGCGGTCCAGGCCTTTATTGGAAAGAGGCCAGAATTAGAGACAGGCCTCTATTGCTATTTGAGCAAAACAGACTACCAGTGGAATGAATAAAAATGAGATTTTGTGTCTATTTGAACCTATAAAACACTAGGTTCATTTATTGAAAAAGTACAGTTACCATGTTCGCTTGGTTTGAAGTAAAAAAGAAAAAAAAAATCCTCCAATTCTGTTTAATCCTCCTCCTCAGTTTCCTCCTCCTCTTCATCTCTCCCTTTAATCTCCTCATCACTCGCGCTCCTCCTCATGTTCTGCTGCGTGTCTGTTCTCTTCCTCGCGCAGACGGGCAGCAGTCAGGGCCTGTCGTCCAGCAGCGCAGGGCTGTGGTACTTGTATGTTACTACCACAAGTATAATGTTGTGGTATGCCCAGAAAAAACGTTTATAGCCCCGGCCTGTATTAGAGACCGGCCATTATTTCCCTCCTCTGACAGCGAGACCGGCCAATGTTAGAGTCCCGGCCGCTAATGGAATACAGGCCAATATTAGAGAATTTACGGTGTATATATATATATATATATATATATATATATATATATATATATATATATATATATATATATATATATATATATATATATATATATATATATATATATATATATATATACATACATATATATATATATATATAAAGTGATATTTAGCTATTTAAATGTAATCACAAGGTGTTTTTATACATAAAATCCACTTTGCATTGTATCTGCATGTAAGAACAATAAGTTCAGGTCTTAGTAGCAGTTACAGGGAGTAAAATGCAAAGATAAAAATAACAAAATAAAATATGAAACAAACTAAATGGTACAAAACTTCCAAATAAAACACAACTGCCTTTATAACACCAGAGGGCACCATCTCCTCCTGGAAAAACCTGAGTGCGTGCCAAAAAACAACTCCATGAGGCCAGTAATTTTACAGCACTCTGGGACTTTTCTGCTGATTACCACAACTCCTCTGGGTTGTTTTTAAAGGAAAAATTAAATCCCGCTAGACGCTGGGAACCTGGAATATCTGCACCTGTCTTCCCACCTGTGTTGCGGGCTCACAGATACTTCCCCCAAATGCATAATTGAACACATTTAAAGCTGTGAAAAACATGCATCCAAACACCCAGGAGAGTTTTACCTGACATCCTCCCCCTCCTCCAGTATTGACAGGCAGATGGTACACTTCTCCTCTGTGTCTTCATCTGCCCCTTCATCTTCGTCTTGCTTGCCGTGCAGCTTTCTCTGGCGGGGACAAACATTTGGAGACATGAATATCAAAAGGTAGAATCAGTCAACCAAGCGAATCATCTTAACAAATCACTTAAACTGCTCAACTAAACCCCTAATATGAGATTAAAATGAATGACTTGAGCCCCATAAAGGTAACTTTGGTATTTCAACAAAATAAACTTAAAATTTGGGAACAGAGGGAATGGTCATTTTGTCCAAAACAGAAAAGAAAAATTTCTATCTTTAGTCTCAAGTCAAATTAATCCAAATGAAAAAAAAAAGCCAAATTTCCCAGCCCCCAAGGACAACAGTAATATCTAATGTACATGTGAGCAGAGACATGTCTCCAAATCGATTTGTTCGTTTTGATTCTCACCGATTCTGGGGTTGCGTGCATATTTTTCCCAATAGATGCCCAAGCTTCAGGGGTTAACTGTTGGTCAATGTCTCTCTCCAACACCTTCTGTATTGGGTGGCAGGGTGTTAGATTGCTTGTTTAGGTACAATTTAAAAACCTCTAAGGAACCCCCCCCCCCCCCCCAAACATATCTTCACGGATACAATCTCAGGTAAAAGACACTACAGTGTTTTCTAAAGCATCAGGCCGCTCTGTCCCAGAATAAGCTTCAACAGACATGCAAATGTATGTCCAAAAATGTGCAGAAATTGTGAGACAGTTCCAATCACTCCAAGCAGGCTTTACCTTCTTGTACTTGTGTGGGTAGGTGCACCTCTCTATGGTTCCCTGAGAGGCTCCTCGATTCACAGTCCCAAGTCGTTCCTCTAAATGCAGCAGGTCCTGAAGAAGACACCCAGAAAAACATTTGAAAATCCTCACGTCAGACCGACAAATTGTTCACATTTAAACTCAAGGTCAACTCTTCCTGGATCAGTGGTAAAGTGTGTGAATGGCAATGTATAGCCAAGCAGTAGAACAGCAAGACTTACATTCAATTACATAAAAATCAGGATTTTTTTTAAATCATGAACCTCATTTAGCTTAATTATGTTTAGTATGACTTTAAGGCATTTTTTATCATCTTTGTTTTCTTACAGCGGTAAAGAATTATTTAATGAGATGTTTATATTAACTTAAAATTTCTAACTAAAAATATTTTTATTAGGCCTTTTGGTTTTAGTATTCTGATCAGAATTTCAATTTGTTCCTTCTATCTTTGGTATTTCCTCATAACGATCATTATTTCTAAAGTCCATGTACCAAATATCATTTCTATCTGTTAAGCCCCCTGTCACACCTTGACGATTTAACCAGCTTATGCCTGATATCCCAGAATCTTCTAAAACGCTGGCATACACTGAACTTTCTATGTATTTTTTCAAGTTTGGGCGTATACGTAGATTATACATAAAGAGTCCAGAACTTATGTCCAACGACAGCCTAACTTATGCATAACGCAAGGCAGCATAATGCCCATTAAAAAGTCACAAGCCAGTGTCCTGAGGGGGGCAGCGAGGCACCCGGAAGCGCCCGGTCTACATAAAAACATTTCTTTGATCGCTGTATTAACCTGGCTGCTGTTTACTGCCGACCAAAAAAAAAAAAAGAAGGTTTGCAGTCGCAGCAAATTCAGCATCATGTCTACTAGGAAGTTTGTTGGTCGTGGCTGTAGCCGTGAATGCAGGAAGGATCCATCGCACTCACCTTCTCGCTCACCCTATGATGGTGATGAAATCTAGTGGAGTACTGACGGTTTCCTCCTGTTAGCCCCCTTTTATACCAAAAACGCTGCCATTACGCCATTATACAGTAAATGTAAGTTAGAAACACGTCCAGCGGTCATCTGGAACACGTCAAATACGTTGATATGCTTTGGAGATAAGTTCTTGATAAGTTACGCATTAGTTATTCACAAGTTACTCAAAGGTTTTGGATAAGCTAGACGCCATAGCTTGGATAAGCTAGACACCATAACTTGTGTCAACGATCAGATAACTTACCTGTAACTTGTGCGGCACAAATGAGCATACGCTTATACAAAACGTACCCATAACTTACAGTATCAAACGTATGCCAGTGTTTTTGCCAGATTCTTTGTACGTCAGGCATATGCTGGTCAAGGTGTGACAGAGGCTTTATATCCTATTTAGTCCTTTTAATGCTCACACAGGTACTATGAATTTATCTAAAGTAAAGATGAACTGGGACAGTACAGAGGAAAGAAGAATTAAAGTTAACCATTTTAAGTACCACTGAGGTCTGATGCAAGAAATAAGGAGTCCATTTCAAAGGAAACCTTTGCATTTTCTGACAAGTTGAGACAAAAATGTGGCTCATTCAGGCAGTGAGATGAAATACGGAATAATAGAGAACAAAGAAAGAAACTTGTTTTTTTCCATAAAGTTTTAAACTCTGGCCATCATGGATTCTCAAAATCTTACAGATAAATTAAAGATCTGCCTGGGGAATACAGAAAAAGATACATCCAAAGATGATTGTTTTGGTATTAATAGCCCCACTAAATTCTTATTAAAATGCTTAAGACAGTTTACAATATTAACTCCAAAAGGGAGACCCTGCTCTATATTACCCACTGTGCCATATTATCCCAACTTCAAAATCAATAAGTTAGACGTCTAAAAAAAAGAAAGGCTAGAAAAACATTTGTCCTTGCACGACCTCATATGATACAGTAGCTCTATAAAAGAAATTAAAACTGGCTTAAATTGTATAAGTTATTTTATAGAAGTTGGAGACTGGAAACTGATCACGAAACTTAAGATTCATTCCCTTTGCCTCCCCTACATTAGTTTTAAATGTACAAAGCTTCATCATATTATCTCTTAAAAAGTTACTCCAATAATGAAAAAAAAAAAAAAATCTCATGTTATTTTTCCTTTTATATGAACTATTAAAGATATAAACTTGTCCATTGAGGCTGATCATCACTTCTACTTGAGTGCAATCAGTCTTTTGGGGTCTGCTTCATAAAACTGAAAGTCTATACCTACGTACTGGCAGGAAGGTTAAACAAAATAAAAATGAAAAAAAAAATAAAAAATTGGACCACGTTCCTCCACCACATGGCATACCACTAAGCTGTAATCATTTATTTTTCCTGTATATTGGTGAAAACAGATGAACAACACATGTTGGGGCTGAATCTCAGTAATTACAGGTGGTATATTGATAGTATTGATGGTACAGAGTGCAGCGATGGCTGCAGCACTGTGTGTTTGCAGCAGAGTTTTGCCCCTTTTTCCTTTAGGAACAAACGGGTGCTGTTCTCACCTCGTAGGTTCTTCCAAAGCCAGTCATTCTAGATGAGATGTACCTAATGTGCGGGTAGGTCACTTCAGAAATGCCAGTAGTGTGCTGTAAAAACAAAGGAGGTCCAATATGAAGAACTACTACAAAAACAAAATGAACTTAAAAAGGGTCTGAATAACGAGGAAAGACCTCATTATCATCCTGTATTGTTCCGTAAAAATTCAAAAAATATCCACTGGACTTGGTTTTCAAGATTTGAAGTCCAGTGGATATTTTTTGAATTTTTACGGAATGACTATGACCTGGATGACTGAGAACCTTCATCAGCATCCTGTATTGTTCTTGTTTTTTTTTTTATAGTTCCAATTACTTGATGTTAAAATCATATTTTTTTAGCAGAACTGTTTAAAGTGTAACTATGATTTAAAAATGAACTGAAACGGATTCTGAAGTTATTTAGTGAAGCTATTAAGCAAAATAGATGCCTGCTTATCAAAACTAATGAATCAAATCAAAAAAGTACCAACTAAACATGTTAGTTGGTAGGCGAGGAACCTGAGCAAACACTTGAGATGTGAGCTTCTATTAATTGCTAACACATGATTTATAAAGGCTGCTGAACTATTCTTTAGGTAAATAACTTTATAAGCGTCAGCAGAACTTGTCCCAGATGTGTTATCATCAATGTTTAAATTTGCAAGTTTCTCCTACCATTAAGGAGATGGGGAAGTGGTGCAGTCTCGGGGGAGGGTGGTAGTGGGGGAGATGAGAATGCAGGTGCCCTGATGCGTATGAAGCCACGGGAACACCAGCCTCGATGCCAAGCTCCCTGTTAAAAAGGAAAATGTTATCAGTTCATTACTGCTGCAGGTAGGTTTATCTACATAATGAGATTATGGTGGAATTAAACCTGAAAACAAACCATGTTGTTCTTTGCTCGGGCTGGCGGGGATGGGAAGACATAGTCTGTGGCACGTGGATGTGGTGTCCATGGCCGTAGTTGGGGTGCATCCTGTGGGGATGTGGAGGTGGACGCTCATGCGCCCGCCTGCACACAAAAAGCAAAATGTGTTTTACCAAAAAAGATCTGCAACCTTAAGACGTCCATGACAGCAATACTCACGTAGGATGCTGCATCATCCTCCTCCTCTGGACCTCCATCCTCTGCAGCACGTCGTGATGATGGATCCTTTGCACCGAAGGACCCAGAGGTGGCATGTGGTGCTGCAGGCTCTGGTGATCCGGAGGAAGGTGCTGAGCCAGGGGGACGCTTGAAGTAGGGAGGTGGTGGGCCGAAAGGGGAGGGGGAGGCGCGGGGGGAACGGAGTGACCTGGAGGGTGAGATGGCAACGGTGTATGGAAGGAGTGGGGAATGAGAAACTCGCCTTGCAGAGGAGGCTGAGGTGTGAGTTGGGGGTTTCCATGAGAGTGAGGGCAGGCGGGGGAAGCTTGATGATGCAGCGACCGGGTTAGAGAACCATCTGGAATTTGATGACAAGAAAAACGGGAAAATCATCAGTGTATCAATCTGATCCAAACCAACAGGAAACTACAATGTTGATGCTTAGAAACAAAGCTTTTACACCCTTTAATTCAACTTGCAAGGTCTTTGCCCTTAAATTACAAACTATGCACGACATGTTTCTTATCATTAGACATTTGATCTGATTAACGATAGATAATTTAGTCTAAAACTGAATTATTTATATGAAAATAAATTGGATTTGTGATATTTTTTACTACTAAATTCATGGTTGAACAATAAACAAAAGTACATGAAGATGAATGGATAAAAAAAGGATGGAAGGACGTGTCACATCTCCCTCATAGATATGAGGAACTGTGCTTAAGCACAAAAAAAACTCTCTCTACCGTCGAGGATTCATTATTATTTGTTTGTTGAACTCACAGGTAGGGTGAATGTAATGTCTGCAGGGCTGAGGTTGTGTCTGTGGCTGAGCCACCATGGAGGAGCTGAATGAGTCCACCACAGCTGGCTGACTGGGCCCAGGGTTGGCATGTGAACCATAAGCAGGGGGCCGCGAAGAGGAGCCCGGGCTGCACGGGTCAAAAGCTGACGTGCTGCCATGGAAACTAGCGCTTCCAGTTCCGCTGGCTCGAATGCTGCTGTTGCTCAGGTCCACTGGCAGGGTTTGCTGCAGAAACAAAGTATAGACGATGCAGGAACTGCTAAAAGAGTTGGGGGTTCATTCTAAATAATCTGGTTTTCTGATTTAAATCAGAATTATGGATAAGATTAAAGTCATCATACAATAAATAGATAAAAAAATCATAAAAAGAGAAAATCTTTATTTTTGCAACAAATTTAGATACCTGGTCATGATAGTGGGCTGCATTACTGCTGCTGCCGTTGCTGTTGTTGACTCCAGCACAGGGAGCAGGCAGAGCACTGGGCCGTTCCACAGGACAGCTCGGCTCTTGAAAGGGTAGGGTTCCTGGTGGCTGCGGTGCAGGGTGATGGATATGGTGGACAAAGTGGTGAGTATTGCTGTGCTGGGAGCCGGCGGTCTGCTGAGAGGACGACGCTTGCAAGCAGCTAGAATGGGAGTGGCTGAGGGACGTGTGTCCAGGAGAGGGGCCGCTGCATGGAGAGTGCTGCTGACAGCAGGATGGCAACCTGGGCATGGCTGCTCCTGAGCCTTCTCCTCCTGCACCAGGCAAACTTGGTCTGTTATCATCTGAGGAAGGGGGGGGAAAAAACATCAAAACATTTATTATTCTAGCACTGAAGAGTTAAAAAAAAAAAGAGCAGACGCTGTAAGAACATATCTGACCTAGTCTAGAGTAGCTGGTCTTCAGGGTTACTACAGCTTAGAGTCAGTTATATTTAGGACTAATGTTTGTGTTTAAATAAGCTGTAGGCTAACGGACAATTTCACCTATTCATCTTAACATAAATCATGACCTTTTAGCCGAGTTTTAGCCTAGTCCACATAGTCTGATGGAGAACTTGGGTTGGACAGCCAGTTCTCAACGATGCCACATCCCCACTACGTGCGTCTGCAACCGCATCCTTGTTTTGTTGATTCCACTATCATGTTTATGAAAGGTTAGCATGAGAACCATTCGTTAATTTATATAAAATAAATAAATGTATCCTATGATTTTGAGATTTGAGACCAATTACAATCATAAAATCACACTAATTATGTGTTAAGAACATTTCAAGCGTTATTTGTTTTGTTTTTTTCTTTTAAGACCTTTGAAATGTAGGACATTTAATGCCAATTAAAGCCTTATTTTTAGATTCATGAATTCATTCCCTTTTAAGACTTTTTAAAGATCTGCAGAACCCTGGTTTTACTATCCTCATGTCATCGTACCCTCAGTGCGAGCAGAGCCACTTGCTCTCTGTGTATGTAGACTTCCAGGTACGGAACCCGCGCAGCTGGTAGAAGGGCCCGGGGCATCATTGAGCTCGGAGGTAGAGGCGAGATGGGAGGATGATGAAGAAGTTGACGACCTCACTGTCTGAGTGTGAATGCTGCCAGAGGTTGTTGGCACCACAGAGAGATCTGGGCAAAAAAGAAAAAACAAAAAGTCATAATTAGCATGACACAGTTTACCAATTTCAATCTATTTAAAAATTGAAAGACACACATATATATGGCTTTAAAACCAATTGTTTGAAATCATAGACAGCTGCCCCTCCTTCACCTGTTACTACTATGCCTTTCCCTCATTTACAAGACAAATTTGGCTGTTTTCATACTTCTAGACAAGAAAACCAGGATGGAAAACAGTACATCACTACTCACAACAAGCAATCTGATTTGAAAGGTACTACTGAATCAAACAGGGGTTTGTTCTATATTTTTGCTTTAATCTTTGCAACACAACAGCATAAATGTTTTGTTTAATTGGTATATCTAATAATTTTGAATGTAAATGTAACGTAAAATCCCTTTACTGTCTCAAAATGGGGAAATTCACTCTCTGTATTTAACCCATCCCCTTCAGGAGCAGCGGACTCCCACTATACAGCGCCCGGGGAGCAGTGTGGGGTTCGAATCGTTTACTTGCAACCTTCTCAGACCACAATGCTTTAACCACTAAGCCAAAATAGTCAATGTATAGTTTTGGCATCAGTATGGTTTACTTTGGCACTCTTAACTGAAACAATTTCATTGTTTTATACATCATTGCTTACTATATTTTTGAGAATACTGTGAAATTATGGTATTTTCATTCCAGGTTATTAAACATTTAGATGATCACCTTGGCCCTTGTCTATTCTGTACCAAAAGGAATGAAAAGAAATTAAGATAGGAAAACTGCTGCATATAGTATGCTAAAGGACAGAATACTTCCCCCAAGTATTTGCATCATGAGGCAAAAACACCTCGTCTTCTCACCACTGTTTGTATTTATCACTTCACCAAATTGTATTTACGAAAGGATGACATAATACTTCATAACCATAACCTGCATTTGCCTTTTCAATAAACATAAAGAACATTTTGAGAATTTACTCCTACAGTGGCACCAAGAGTTTATGTATCGGAAAATAAGGGAACAGTGATGGAATATAGTAAAACACCTATTATTGCAACAACAAGAAATTCATTAAACTGACTTAGTGGACCACTTTCTACCTTTACAATTTTAAATGCAATCCCCACAGAGCAGAGGTGTGCACAAAAGTCCTAAAGGCTGAGGAATTTGCATGCTTCAGGAAAGGGAGGGCTAAATGAATTTGGAAATATGAAAAGCAGATCGAGTGAAAGTGCTGCGAGGCTCCTAAAGTTTGTTTCTACTACTGAGGAGCAACTGTAAACCAACACACAGCAAAGTCTCGTTGTATAGAGTTAAAGAATATTGAATTGTGTGGTTTTCATAAAGATCTTAAAAATATTTAAGCTTCTGTTATTGGAAGTTCAGCACAGCTTTCTTGTCCCCGATGAAACAAAGCAACACTGAACTAAGTGTCCAAACCTTCTTTTATACAATATGTAAAAGTACATTTTGTGTAGATTTGTTTTGGTTTAACGTAAAATAAATAAACAGGCAGTATTTCATGTAATGAAAAAATGTGCATGATCACAGAAGAAAAAGGATCTCAAAATTTGCTCTAAATTTCCTAACTTTTTGGGTTTGATTGTTTGACCAGGGGAAAAATATAAAATTATAAGGGTCCGCGTTTATTTAAAAATAAGAGCTGTATTTAGCCGTTCAATGAACAGGCATTTTGAATAAAAACTATAAATTTTTTATTTTTAATTGCAGAAAGTAAAAAAGAACGTAAAAACAAAACGTGTGGCAAGTAGAGGAAAATACTTTGGGTTGAACATAAATTGTTCTTTCTCAAGAAGACTTCATTTTTTTTTTTTGGCTAGAGGGGTTATTTCCTATCATTACTAAACTCCTGTTGACATGGGGGCCGAGGTGGTGAACAACATGATTCCAAGGATCACAAATGTCCCCTGAGACGCACTTGGACACTGCTGAACTAGAGGTGAGAAGTTCCTCCTTGAGTCATATTTACCGTCCTCATCAACGGTGAGATCCACAACCTCCCCAGGGTTCTGCCGCAATGGCTGGATGACTGTTGAGAGCCGGTGACGTCCACGCGGTTCTGGGAGGCGACTCTGGGCACAGCTACTGCCCCATATCCTACTTAGAGCTCCGACCGAGCGGGACCTGTAGACACACGGACATAGAACCACACCTGTTAGAACAGAACCTATATGATGCATTTGCTGAAACAGAGTGTGATACTTGTTCAGGGTGAAAGTTCAACGAATGAAAACAAGGGAAGAAAATTAGATGCGGGAGTAATATAAAGTGTAAATATTACAAAAGTAAATATTGATTTTAATACAAAGGGACATTGAGATAAACGTTGGTTTTTAGGTGTAAAAAGCTAATAGCTGATCGGTGTGAGCCCACAGGATGCCATCAGGAAGTCAGTTTGAATGAAAATCCTTCCTCTTATTCCCAGGACCCCTTTAATTTTCCTCCATGCCCCTGAAAAGTCAAACAGCTCGACTCCACTTCCCCTCGCCCCTTTCTTCCCTTTCTTTTAATTTTCTCTCTCAAAGGCTTCTGTCGCTCTCCTCTTCTGCCTCTGAGACGGGAGTGACAAACAAGGGAATATCCATATAGCCCCCCCCCCCCCCCCCCCCCCATATTGCGGTAAAAGCCAGGTGAGCAGAGGGAAGAGGAATAACCCCAGGAGACAGGAAGCTGTGTGGGAGCGCCATGGAGATGTTGAGGTAGGGGACTTTTCTACCCTCAATGCAAAACTCCCACCAGGGTAGAGAGAGAGTGTGCATATCTGAGGTTAAAGGAACCACCTGAGTATTCGTTGTTGGATGTTATAGATCAACTCAAATGAGAAATACAAATTAAATGTCTGATGATGATTGTTTGGTTAGACTACCTCTAGCTCACTGAAATATTAGTTAAGTGACCTACATGAATAGATTTAAGGTTTAACATGAATATAATATGAACAATGTTACGTTAATGTGGAGCAACAGAAACAAATAAACAACTTCTGTGTGTTCTGGTCAGGCGCTATGGAACATTTTGCAAATATTTGGTGGAAATATGAGAATAAGTGGAGCAAACCAATGACTTTTACTCAGCTGGTGGTCTGTTTCGCCTTGGTTTGTTGTTGATAGGGAGTCATAAGGGACAGAAATCTGATTTAATACAATTTAGCTTGTAAATGTTTGAATAACTGTGCCTCATCATCTTATCCCGAAGATGCTGTTCCTAGAGAGGCTACAATCAGGCGTCTACCGATTTGCTTATTGGTTGGATCAGACTAGTGACCAGCAAGTCTCTCTTTCTGTCTATTAAAGAAAAAAAGAGATTAATTAATTCACATGTTTCTCAGACTAAAAGTGTAAAAAGCAACATTTTGATGCACTTTTTTAGTTGGACTGAAACCACTGGCTCTATTTAAGAATATACAAATGTTTTTATTTTATTTTATGTTCAATGGTTGCTATTAAGGATACATGATAACATCAGACGGGACTTGCTTTAAAACTAAATATGGGAAATTCCACCATTATAAGGATTGTGACAAAGGATTATACCTGCGGTGCCAAAGGGTCACATTCATGAGTCTGCCACAGGACAGACGCCGAAGTAAAAATGTTGATGTTTTTTTATAAGGTTTCAGAAAAAAGACAAGCTGCTATCTGCAACCTAGGAGGGAGAAAACTGCATAGTTTCTGTAAGAAGGTCTAGGGAAAAAATGTCGCCATCTGACCGCTGAGTTATAAAACATCAGCATATTAGCCACAATACCAATATCCTGCATCCCGCCTTTCTCTATTTATTGAGGAATTCAAATAAAGTTCACCCTGTAAAGTTAGAGAAAAACAGTGCAGTCTTAACCATGTCAGACCACAAAGAAACCTGGATGTCAGTAAAAACAAATCATTCTGCAAATATTGTCACTTTTTATTCACAGGCTAATCTAAAATCTCACTTATAGTCGCAACCTTATTTTTAAGTAGATTATAGCTGATTTTTCTTTTTCCATTTCAAACCATAAAAAAAACATAAATAGTGAAAAAAATTAGATCACAAAGAAACTAAAAAATAAATATATATTCATGCTATATGCAAATTAACCAAGCAATGCTGTAGATTCCACCATTTTAATGAGCTTCTTCTGAATTTGCGAAATACTAATGTAAAAAGTAGCTTTCATCACGTTGTCCTGACAACTCTTAATGTAGGAAATGCCTTTATTGGCACTCTTTACAATAAGGGGAATCCCCATCTGCATTTAGCATACACAGTTCAGGTGTTATGAAGAGCACCTTTTATACTTTACAAATAGCAATAATAACCTGGATGTAAATTCAAACATAAACACACTCTTGTACCTCACAATACAAGACCCTGCTTAGAGGCTGGGGTGCAAAGAGAGGAGATCTGAGGAGATCGGGGGTCCTAATTGTCTTTTCTGCTTTGGTTTGACCCCCAAGGAGCAGGACTTGACACTAGGGAAAGGTTGCTAATTAAGCAGACCCGGGATTATTTTGTAAATATCTGTTTACCGCTGGAAACCTGTGGGGACAAGGGGTGCCAACAGAGAGGAAAACAGAGCATTATAAATATGATCACTATGGGAATGGAGGGGGCTTGGCAGGGCTGAGGCTGTGCCAAACCAAAGTGACTTGAGACACAGACCCTGGGGATAAAGGGAGAGCAACAGGCTGTGTGTGCTCAGCAGCAATGTGGAGCAAACTGCTGGGGCTGATGCTGCTGCTGCTGACAGCTAAGGATGGGAGTTTGGGAGTTTAACGGGAAGGGAGAGCAGAAATAGCAGTGTGAGCAAAGGTAAACAATTTCCACACAGTGGGAAAAAAACACCCCTTTTCAATATTACTCAATATTTCTTCAAGTTTCTGAGAATTGAAGGAAACATTTATAATATATCTTTAAAAAATCTGATCACATTTAAGGTTTATTTTCACTTGCTTCACTCAGTAGAAAGCAAAATGCCACCAACAGGAACAACCAGGCGAAATTCCTCCATTGTTTACGGAGCAGCCATACGTCAAATCATACGGACAAACAAATACTGCATGATATAAATGAAATATATGTCCCACAACTCTAAAAGTGTAACATTTAAAACATGAACATGAAATGACAACTTTGAATGAAACACTAAAATAAAAATCTGCACAGTGACATAAACAGGAAAAATAAAGCAGCGTGAACCGACTCCACACCATAGTGACCATCCCCCCACTTTAACTTCTTCTATTATCTACTGGGAGAGGCGCTCTAAAAACAGAGGGGAACATCTGTCAAATCATGACCACTTAATTTAGGAAATGGTATCAAATATTCTGGGTAACTGGATATAAAAACTGAAACTGGGATGTGGCTTTAGTGGGAGGAAAAGGCTGACACATGTTAGCAGAGAAGAAAGCACCGGGGGGAAATAAACGTCCTAACATGTTCAAGGAAATGTAGAGATGATCAATGGGATGAACTCAGTTTGGACCATCAGGTTGTTTAAAGGAGTCATATTCTG